TTGTCTAACTGAAATTTCTGCTGATATGAGGAAGGGAAATGCTCTTATGGTTTTAATTTACTAGTGATATTATTGAGCATCTTTCCAGGAATGCATTGTCTATAAAGTTTTTCTCTTCTGTGAATTACCTGCTCATACATTTTTTTGTTTTGTTTTTTGAGACAGGTTCTCGCTCTGTTGCCCAGGCTGGAGCGCAGTGGCATGATCTTGGCTCACTGCAGCCTCTACCTCCTGAACTCAAGCAGTCTTCCCACCTCAGCGTGTGCACCACTGCACCTGGTTAGATTTTTTGTTTATTTTTCTTGTAGAGATGAGGTCTCACTGTGTTGCCCAGGTTGGTATAGAACTCCTGGGCTCAAACGATCCTCCCTTCTCGGCCTCCCAAACTGTTGGGATTGCTGGCATACTTCCATTTTGGAGAATGTGTCTTTTTCTGGACATTATTCATTTTTCTATAATACATGTTTTAGTTGTTTTTTCTCAGATTGTCCCTTGCCTTTTGACTTTGTGGTGTTTTCTCCCACACGCAAGTTTTCAAGGTTGATGTCAAATTCATTCCCTTCAACCAGATGTGGTCAGGATGGTAGTGAGGAGGCCGTGCTCCCCTTCACTGTGTTCTCTGTGTCTTGCAGGTTTTAATGCTCTAAGTGTGTTTCTCTGGATATTTTTTCTTGACCTTTTCCACAATGATAAATAATTTTACAAGTCAACCCTGGTTGAGTTCTTTCACAGAGATTTTGGTGGAAGAAAGGTATAAAATGCAAGGGCTTAGGTCCTATTATTGGTTTTGGAATGTTCTTTTTTTGTTCATAATTTTCTTTTATATTATTGATTATTTTTGTCCAAGTTTCTTTAAAATAATTTTCTTAAGTTCGGAAATAAAATCCTTATGGAATTCTGGTTGAAACTGACCTGATATAAATTAACCTGTGGTAAAAATGTATGCATATATTATTTTTTTGTTTTCTTGCAATTATATATTACATTGATTCATTTAAATCTTGCTTAGAAGAATTTCATAACATTTTATAGGACTTTTTTTGTGTTCTTGCCAACCATACTCCCTTCTCTCTTCCAATTACTTACATAGCAGTTGTCATCTCAACTCACTGCCTTCACCTCAGGTTCTCTTCCACTGTCTTATCACTTGCAATCTGGCTTCTACCCCTCTAGTTTAGCTAAATGCAGGTACCCTTTTTCATTTTCATATTCCTCAGCTTATTGAGATGTATAAGATAGTCCTTACCACTATCCATTTTCTCTTTTCAAAACTCTGTTCTCTCCCTTTAACGGACTCTTTCCCCTGTTTTTCTGTTGTTTCCTCATTTACCATAAGATCTTTGTCATATTAATGTGGATCTCTGTCCAGTTCTGTCTAGTAGAACTTTCTTTTTTTTTTTTTTTTTTTTTGAGACAGTCTCGCTCTGTCGCACAGGCTGAGTGCTGTGGCATGATCTCAGCTCACTGCAACCTCCGCCTCCTGGTTCAAGGGATTCTCGTGCCTCAGCCACCTGAGTAGCTGGGATTATAGATGTGAGCCACTGTGCCCAGCTAATTTTTGTATTTTCTTTTTTTTTTTTTATTTTTTGAGACGGAGTCTCGCTCCTGTCCGCCCACGCTGGAGTGCATGTGGCCAGATCTCAGCCTCACTGCAAGCTTCGCCCTCCCGGGTTCACATTCTCATTCTGCCTCCAGCCTCCAAGTAGCTGGGATACAGGCGCCCACCCACCTCGCCGGCTAGTTTTTTGTACTTTTTAGAGAACGGGGTTTCAACCGTATTAACCAGGATGGTCTCGATCTCTGACCCTGTGATCCGCCCGTCTCGGGTCCCAAAGTGCTGGGATTACAATGCTTGAGCCACCGCGCCCGGCCCAATTTTTTGTATTTTCAGTAGAGACGGGGTTTCACATGTTGGCCGGCCTGGCTTGAACTCCCTGGGCCTCAAAGTGATCCACCAGCCTCGCCCTCCCAAAGTGTTGGGATTATAGCGGGAACCCCCATGCTCGGCCTCTAGTAGAACTTTCTGTTGATGATGGAAATAATCTAATTTGTGCTTCTTTTTTTTTTTTTTTTTTGAGAACAGAGTTTTCCAACTCTTGTTGCCCCCAGCGCCCTGGAGTGCAATAATGGCCAAACGATCA